ATGCTGCTCAATGCAATCATTCCTTCCTCAATTATCACAATAATTTTCACCTGCTGATGCTGACTTGGCAAAGCGTAGTTAAGTGGTATTTATCTATGTCAGTAGAGCTACATTGTGAGATCCCCGATCGTTCCTAAGGGGGGTTACAGGCGCGTTTGCCTGGGGGGTTATGGGCGCACTGACCCGCTACTGAAACAAGCCCTTTTATCCCAATGGTCTAGTGGTTGGGATTCTGACAATCTAAACGGTCTGATGAGAACGTTGTCTTGTTAGGTTCAGTGGTTGGGTAGTTCTTCACCCCTTGTATTCTATATTTTTTTCCATTCTATCTAATTTCCTGTGTGTGCCAAATCTATGCTCTTTTCAACACATTACCAATTTTCTCCTTAGTGAACAACAAAGATTACGTGGCTGCAGAGATAGCATTCCGTAGAGCTCCAACTCCCATTAGAGCAGAAATCTCTGCATGTGTCGAGAGTAATAAGAATGGGTAAGTTGAGAGGTAGAGAGGTGGGGCCTAGGCTTAGTAGCCTAGGCCCGAGCTTTAGGTGTCGAGCGGTTTTGTGCCTAGGTAGGAGTTCGAGTGAGTTGAGAAAAAGTTGGGAGAATGAGGAGCTTCACTATAGTTTTGAAGTACATATAGCAAAGGAAACACATAAGGTGCACCACCAATACAAAGTTTAAATAACTACACTACTGCTAGAACTACATGCAGTTATAATAAATATAATTTTGACATCCCCCCGTAACTGCATGCAGGAATAGCTAAGTGCAGAGCACAACCTGCAGAGGTACACCAACGAACAATAAAACAAGCAACAGCAGGTACACCCCCTCCATCTCCTCACCCTCCCCCTTCCCCTCCCCCACACTGCTGCAGAAGCAGCAGAGAAAGGGGGAAGAGAGGAGAGGTGGAGGGACGGCTGCTTGTTGCCTCACACCCGCCACCCCGATACCACTCCCCCTGCTCCCCCACATCCTCACACCCTCCTCCCCCAGCGGCAGCTGCAGCGGTGGGACTGAAAGAAGGAGGAGGGGAAGGGAGAGAGGTGACGCCACACTCCAACACCCTCCACCCCCATACCCTCCTCCCCACGGCTGCAGGGAGGCAAAGGAAGAAAGGGGGTGGGAAGGAAGAAAGCCGCAGAGCGGCGAAGAGGTGTCGGTGCAGATGGGTCAGGGGCGGCTTCAGGGAGTGCAGGGGCGGAAAGAAGGCCCGTCGCGGGCCAGTGCCACGGGGCGCACGACGGGTAGAATAAAAGGGCCCGATCGTGTGCCTCGGGGCACACGACGAGCAGGGCACCATCGTGTGCCACGGGGCGCACGATGGGCAGTTGAAGGGCACCGTCACGTGCCACGGGGCGCGCGACGGGCAGGGAAGGAGTCACACGCCCGTGGGCGGGACAAGGTAAAAATAAAATCGTCACGCGCCCTAGGCGCGCGACCGGAAAATATTAGCAGCGGAAGTGTAAAGCGGGCCCACAGGCCAGGACGAACTCAGCTCTGATACCATGTCGAGAGTAATAAGAATGGGTAAGTTGAGAGGTAGAGAGGTGGGGCCTAGGCTTAGTAGCCTAGGCCCGAGCTTTAGGTGTCGAGCGGTTTTGTGCCTAGGTAGGAGTTCGAGTGAGTTGAGAAAAAGTTGGGAGAATGAGGAGCTTCACTATAGTTTTGAAGTACATATAGCAAAGGAAACACATAAGGTGCACCACCAATACAAAGTTTAAATAACTACACTACTGCTAGAACTACATGCAGTTATAATAAATATAATTTTGACAGCATGGTGCGGTGAGCGTGGATCGAACACGCATAGAGCCCATTCTTCTTCGTTATGTCTCATTGAACTTGGCTCGTCGATATGGGAGAATCTGAGGAAATCCTCGAGGCGTTCGACAGCTTAGCTGATTAGGAGGCTGCTTTGATTGCTCGTCATGAAGGCGGAGATCTTACCGAGCGGGAGCTCAACTTTATGCTCTTGGGAGCACGAGCTCAATGGGAGATCGACCATCCGCAGACTCGTTCAGAGGAAGATGGGGTTCATTCACGAAAAGAGGCTCATTCACCGCGATTTCAAGCCGTCGAATGTGCTTCCGCGAGAGGTACGACTGGTTACAGCTTTCCCTCTTTCTGTGTGTGTATCCTCGCATCTTGCTTTTAGATGATTCTTCAGTTAGGATGTGTTTCCTCCTTCTATATCCTGCATTCGTATCAGCAGCACCCACTGATATCTCATCATCCCATCTTATTTGGGGTTGTTTCATATCAACTCGATGTCCAGTTCTTTCCAAGTGTAACCTGTAACTCTCAGGATTTCACTCCAGTGGTAGCCGACTTCGGCTTGGCTCGCACCATCGAGGACTGGTGAACACACATATCAACACGAGTGGTCGGCTCGAGTGTCAGAATCCCAACCACTAGACCATTGGGATAAAAGTGCTTGTTAAGTAGCGGATCAGTGCGCCCATAACCTCCTAGGACAACGAGCCTGTAATCCTTCCCTAGGATCAATCGGGGATCACCAGTGGACCTCTGACACCCCCCCGCACTGGGATGCCCGAAGTGCACACACCGGGATTCGAACCCGAGACCTTCGCTCTGATACCATCTCAGAATCCCAACCACCAGACCATTGGGATAAAAGGACTTGTTAAGTAGCGAGTCAGTGCGCCCATAACCCCACAGGAAAACGAGCCTGTAACCCTTCCCTAGGATCGATCGGGGATCATCAGTGGACCTCTGACATCGAGGGGCTACATCGACCCAAACTATGTTGAAACATGCCAAATTAGCCAGTCATCTGACACATATGTGTTTGGTGTATTCCTTTTTTAGCTGATTTCTGGCTCCCCCCCCTTCCAAGGAAGTCATAAATCGTTGAAAATGGCAGAGAGCAGCAACGATTTTGACCCCTCCTGAGTCGACCCTACTATCCAGGGGGGGGGGGGGGGGGGGGGGGGGTGGGCATCGAAGCATGGCCCAAAACTTAATATTCTTACTCGCTGTGCCATTCATAAGACCTTGACACGTCGTCGTAAAATGGAAAGTTTATTAAAAACGCTTAGAGAATTTTGGAGTGAAATCTCGGCAGAAGATTCTAGATAGAGATCTAGGATGTGACGGTTTTTTATTCATGCTTGAGACCTTGATAGTATAGTACAATAAGTGTACGTACAAATTTATGTATCTATTATACTTTAAGCGCCTGTTAAAGAACAGAAGGTGGCTCCAGGAACCTTTCTGGCACACGCAATCTTCGAGCAACCTTCCGTGTTTCCACGTCGTCCTTTACCAAACCCGCGTGGCCAGCGCGCTGATGGTCGTCCATGGTTGGGGCATGTGGAAAGCGGACGTGTTAAAGCAGTTCGTGGTCACTGTGTCTCCCAAATCTATGGGTGACACGTAGAATTGACTTTTCAAGAACACTAGTGAGGCTATCACTTGCGGCTCCACTTCTTCTGCTCCAGCGTGTTTCTCGTCAGCATGACATGGTTCAAGCCTGAAGGTCCAATCGATTCGCTGAAAATTTGAAGCTTGTTGGCCCAAGCTCAACCCGTCTGTCCATCCAGCTTAGCACTTCGCACCCAGCCTCGCCCAACCACCGTCACCCTCCACTCCATTCACTGTCAGTGACTCATGCTGCTGTCGTAAGCGTGGACTCGGTACACCTCAGCAACGAGAAATCTCACATTTGCGGCTGGCATTGACATTCACATCACTGACCCCCGCACCACCGCACCGCTTGCACGCAGCTGCTCCTCCCTCCTACCTCTCCAACTCTCCTGTCAACCCCATGTTAGCGCTACCATACGAAACCTGACTGTTTTGTATTCTATCGTATTATATAGTACTCAACCGCCTCTAACGCTCTACGTCATCAGAGATATACCCACCCATCACATCACGATTCCCCAGTTGTGATACACATACAGTACACCTCGCCCTCCGCCACTGCCTCCCATCTCGCCTCCCCTCTTCTCAACCCGACAAACTTTTGACATAGAACCATATCGTACTACAGTACGTAGTGTCCTCCCTTCGGCTTCGCATCGCGTGTCTCGAGCAAGTCAAATGCGGCGCCTTCTCTTCCCGCTCGTCGGTACATTTTGCCTTTTTTTGCACCCATTTTTCTAGTCCCCCCAGTCATTGCGTCGTATCCTATCCTCCAGTCGGCATTGCTGCTCGCTAGCTAGCCATCTGCTCCCTTTCCCTCCGCTTCCCCAGTACTAGGTATCTAGGAGCTCGTTCCGGTGGAGCACAGCTATTTCCTTCCTCGCAGAACTGAAGCGAGAGGTATGCACAGCAGCTCGTTTTCCGGCCAACAGGGCATCCCACACCCTGCGGCTGAATCCCAGAAATCACCCAACGAAGCTCCTCGAGCTCCAAGCCGTTTCCAGATTTCTCCAGAGTGCGAGGAGTTTGAATGCGACGCTTCGCATCGTGAGCCTGCTTCTTTTTCCTGTGCTCTGCAATCGGAGCACGGTTCCGGGCCTCGCAGGCGCGTCGCTCACGCTACCTCCCGTTCGCGGATTAGTAGTGTGGCCAGGAAAGATAGCGCGGATGCGGGTGATTGCGTTTCGTCAAAGTACGTTATCGAGGAGGATAATAGGGAGGATGGTAACGACAACAATGAGTTCGACGACGACGCAGCATCCGAGAACCTTCCGATATCGCTCGTCATAGCGGCTTTATTCTTAGACACCAAAGGACAGTCGAGAGCGCTGATTAAGAAGCTTTGTTCATTTGACTCGGACTTCATCCACAGAAAGCTCTTAACTCTGCCCGGCGTCACTTATACCTCGTCCTTCGTTAAACAAGGAATCTCCTGGCTACAGACACACCTCTACATACCTGTAATGAATCACGCGGATGCTTATAGCGGGCAATCTTTTAGCGCGGATGCTCTCGCCAAGGGCGATTGCTGCAAAAGGTCGCCATGCGGATCGTGCTGCGTGTCGATACCGAAGGACTCGCATGGGCACGAAAATGACAACCACTATATGCCGAGCCGCGCTCGATCCAGCAAACAGGTACTTTTTGCTCATCCACATGACCTCAAGCAGGTACAAGTCTTATTTGTAGCTCCATACGTCGCACGCCCTTTTCTTGCTGGCATCCGTCCCCCCACCTTTCCACGCCCCTTCCCTGCCCTCCTCCCCTTCCGCTCTCTCCCCTACTTCCCACACCGTCCTACTTTCGAGCTCGCAAGTGCTTTTTTTTGGGCGCTTTTTTTCAGGTGCTTTTTCTCGTCTCACGCCCTTCCACGGCCGTTCTACCACTTTCAAACTCGCAGGTGCTACCGCTCGTCGGCTTCGGAGCCGTCGCGATCCTCGTGCTGCTCGTGCGCGGCGGGTTGCCGGCTCGAACACCTCTCCACCGCGGCATATTCCCTTTTCCGAAGCTCCCCGCTGGTGCTACGGCTTCCATCTACCAATCAACGACTGCCGCGTGGCTGGACCTGACCGCTCTGTTCTTCCTGTTCTTCGGCACCGCCGCTTTGACGCGATTCGCCATCATCCACCTGATTCGGCGGCATCCGCATTTGAGCCTTCCCCTCGCGGCGCTTGTTTCCGCCGATCGGGGGGGCGGTGGTCGGGGTTCCGCGGAAAGGAGCGGGTGCGCATCGGGGGGATCCGCGTTCATGCGCGACCTTTGCGGAAAAGCCGGCAAGATGGGGCTGGGCGGAGGGTTTTGGCGCGCGGTGTGGTGGCAGGCGCAGATTTCGCCTTCTCCGCGCGGGAGGCGCAGCTCCGCGCATCTGGCGGAGCGATCTTCCGCCGGCTCCGCGGATTTTCTGCGCTATTTGCGGCCGAGAGGGACCTGCAAAAGCCTATCAGAGTCCGAAGATGCTGTAGACGACGCGTTATGTCTCACCGTGAGGCGGTACACTAACGGGGATAGATACGAAGGCGAGACGCGTGACGGAGTAGCGTCTGGAAGCGGCGTGTATTATTTCGACGAAGCTGCGGGGAAATACGAAGGCGAGTGGGCGGACGGAAAATACAGCGGGCTGGGTGTAGAATCGTGGGAGAGCGGCAGCGTGTACCGAGGCGAGTACAAACGCGGATACCGCGAGGGGCGGGGGCTGTACCAGTTCCACACGGGGGACGCGTATGCGGGCGCGTGGGCGCGCGGGCAGAGCCACGGCGCGGGGTTGCAGATGTGCGCGGATGGGAGCACGTACGCGGGGCAGTTCTCGTACGGGCTGAAGCACGGCTTCGGGATCTATACCTTCAGGTACCGTTTTTCTGCCGCTTTGAGTATGTTTATACCTCCTTGCACCGCGTGAGGTACCCTGGGCGGAAACTCGGGGACCAGTTTTACAGCTTTGCAACTTGAAGTAGTATTGCTTATGGAGGATGAAACAAAGGGTAACTGCCAGGGGTTGGGGGGTGGCTGACGAATGTGGCTGATGCTCGTGGCAGAGGGTTTCTTAAAGACATTTCAATAATCATACATGCTATTGAGATAATATAAGACGAAACTTTCACCTTTGCCTCATGGCTCGGTATGTCTGACACCAATCTCCCTCTTTCACCTGTACTTCCAATTTTACCATAGACGGCGACACGTACGCAGGGGATCAGCAGCGCCATCAGCAACGTTCTTCTGACACTGCCTTCCCTCCTCTTATTCACCCTCCCCTCCCCTAATTACCGTGCCTTTCCTTTTCACCAGGAACGGAGATACCTACATGGGGGAGTATTTCCGCGATGCCATGCACGGGTACGGCGAGTACACGTTCAGCAACAGGCTTCTGAATCTACCCTTGCTCCCCGTATTCCTGTATGATCCCTTACCAGAAACGGCGACGTGTACGCGGGGGAGTATTTCCGAGATGCCATGCACGGGTACGGCGTGTATACCTTCAGCAACGGGCAGTGCTACGAGGGCGCGTGGCACGACGGGTGCAAGCAGGGGCTGGGCCGATACTCCTTCCGCAGTGGGGACTCCCTCATGGGCCACTGGCACCTGGGAGCGCTGCTCACACGCTGCTGTGACACCCCTCCTGCCGCTGTCTCTGCCACTTCTGCTGCTGCTGCCACCCCTGCCACTGCCAGCTCGGCTCCATCTGCGGCCTCTGCCTTTGACGCGGTTTCTGACTCAGTTTCAGACTGTGGCAGCTGGGGTGCGTCCTCCAGTCCATCGTCGCCCTCAGCCTTTTCAGCAGCATCGTCACCATCAGCTGCAGCACCATCAGCAGTGTCACCATCAGCGCTCGTAGCGAGCCTGTCTCCAGTCAATGGGCGCCCATTAGTGGACCCTTCTAAAGTCCTAGCAGCCGTAGAGGTGAGCGTGGCTTCTTGTAAACCTGAACGTTTTTTCCTCCAGGTTCTCGTTTTTCCCTGAAGGCTTGTTTTGTTCTTCCTTGTACATTGTTTCATGGCCATCTACTCACCGTTCGCCTCTCACCGTGTCTTCTGGCTCCTGGCTTAACTTGCAGGCTGCAAGGAGGGCCAAGAAGAGGGCAGAAGCACTGTCGGCTTCGGATGAGAGTTTGTCTGACGTGGTGGCTGCAGCCAATCAAGCGGCTGCTACTGCCAGGGAAGTAGCGGCTGACGCAAGGGCCTTGGGGCCCCAGCCTGAAACCAAGAATGACCTGCAAAGCAGGTATAAGTTCATTCTGTAATTCATGTTCCCTAATATTGTTGTATATAATTTGGTTCAAAAACAAATGCAAATGCTTTTGGATGGAGTTGTGTGCATATCAGTCGGTAAATGGAGATCAAGAAGTAAATCCTCAGTCGCATTTCAAGTGTTAGCAATTATGAATATCAATGAACTATTAACTTCTGCGATATATACAGCGTGCAATGCATTCGCCACTGTACCATTGCAATAATTTCGATTATGTCGCTGACAATCTCGCGAATTCAACCTTTCTGCTTGACGCCACGAGTTTCATCCAGCAGCTATTTGTGCGTCTGGTGACAATCTTTGCCTCCACCAGTCTTTCCCAGGGACAAGCTCTCTCACAGACATTCCACAGCGCATTGACTGGCTCGTTGATTAGAGAGCATCGACCTTCGCCTGTCCGCATCACCTCGCCACTCTTGCTCGCTGACTTTGCTTTTGAAGTTCATCGAGCTCGCAATTCTCGAGGCGTCTCAAAAGTCTGTTGCGTTTTTTCACTTGCCGTTCCTCGCGTTTCCCGGTGTCGGACGTCATTTCCGTCGTTTGTTTTACGAATTCCGATCGAGGTGCCTTTGTTCCATCAGGCCGTCGTCAAATTCAGAGTGTTCCGATTAAATTGTCGGCCATGAAGCTCACTGACGGCATGGCAGCGCTGGTCACGGGAGCAGGCTCTGGCATAGGTACGCATACAACGTCCTCTGTGCATTCCTCAGCGTACTATTTATCGACGCTGGTCATGAAGCACTGACGGCATCTCAGCGCTGGTCACGGGAGCAGGCTCGGGAATCGGTACACGTACGGATTAATGCTGAAAAGATCTGCTGTACAAATCAATGCCGGAATCGGTACGCGGACAGATCATTCTCTGCAATTTCGGCTCGTTTGAGTTTTGAGTCGACTCAAAAGTCACCCCGGGAGCAGGCTCGGGAATCGGTACGCGGACAGTTTACTCTCTGCAATTTCGGCTCGTTTGAGTCGACTGAAGAGATAATGCTGTACAAACTCGTCCCATCTGCTCTGTTAGTGATACCCGAGGTGTTTCATACGAAGCAGTCAGTCCGTACGTTCAGTAAGCCAAGGTAGTCTGTACGAAATGGTTAACTCGTAAGTCAAATGTAACCGCGTTCGGGGCTTCTCTTTCTTCTCTTGCCTTCTCTCTCTTGGCTTAGGAAGACAATGCACAGCATTCACTGGATCTGGCCAAGAAACATAAAATTTGCAGATTTTATCAAATTCTTCAAATTTCTTACTCATGTTGCAGAAATAACTCTTCTATTCGCTCTATGATTTCCTTGTCGTTTGCTTCTCAGGCCGAGCAGCTTCTCTGTACCTGGCGTCTAAGGGCTTGCGGGTGACCATTGTGGATTTCTCAGAGGCAGGAGGCTTAGAAACGGTGCTGCTGATTGGGGAGCAGACGGGGAGGCAAGATGCAGCGAGGTTCGTCCAGTGTGACGTCAGCAAGCCTTGTAAGAAACGTTTGGCACAAGAATGGGATCTTATCTGTACCAATCATATGTACCAAGATCGGTTTATAAGGTACAAGTGACCAGAATGTGACATGTCTGTTTTCTCTTTGGTTCCTCCTTTCTGGCCTCTCTCCAGTTGACCTGGCCTGTGCATTCTCCTCGCACATGCAATGTGCTGCTGTTTCGATGTCTGCCTGAACAACATGGGCAAAGGATAGGGACTGGCTCTGCTTGTCCGTCCTTCTTGAGCATTGTTTCTTCCTCCATTTTCTATCATCCCCCCCCCCCCCTTCCCCTCACTCCGCAGCTGACCTGGCTCGCTCGTGCATTCGCCTCGCACATGCAATGGTGTGGGCGTCTCGATGTCTGCCTGAACAATGCGGCCTTAGGGGAGAGGGATTAGCTCTGCTCGCCCCGCCCCTCTCTGTTGAGCATTGTTTCTACCTCCAATTGTTTTCATTCCCTCCCTTTATTGATCCCCAGCTGACCTGGCCCGTGCATTCGCCGTGCACATGCAATGGTGTGGCCGACTCGATGTCTGTCTCAACAATGCGGGCATAGGCGAGAAGGAATGGTTCCTCAAGGACACGTCAGCAGATGGCAAGGGTTCCTGGCGCCACGTGTTGGACGTCGATCTGACGGCTGTTGTTGATGGGACGCGCCTTGCTGTAGGTTTCCTTTCGCTCTCTACCTGAAAGTGTTTTGAGACATAACAGAACCATGTGAAAGAACACAAGTGTTGGGACGTTCACGTCTGACTCTGAACAATGCGAGCACTCATTGCTGTGAGTGTTGGAGGTTAACCTCAGTCCAGCACTGTACAAATGTGTGAACTAGGTGACTTTTGAGTCGATTCAAATGTAACCTCAGTCCAGCACTGCACAAATGTGTGAACTCACTGCTGTAAACTCACTTTGTGCTGTTACCTCTCTCTTCGCTTGCCGCTCAAATCGCCTCTCCTTATTGCCTACTACGTTGCACATTAACGGCACACGTTTGAACGCTTTCTGGAGGTTCTGAGGGCTTTTGATGTCAAGAGGAGTTCTGACAACGCGGATACGCAGTCTTCTCACTCCTTTCGCCCTCATCCTTCACACCTGCTTCTCCGTGCCTTGCTCCCTGCCTCCTCTTGCTCCCTGCCTCCTCTTGCTCCCTGCCTCCTCTTGCTCCCTGCCTCCTCTTGCTCCCTGCCTCCTCTTGCTCCCTGCCTCCTCTTGCACCCTGCCTCCTCTTGCACCCTGCCTCCTCTTGCACCCTGCCTCCTCTTGCTCCCTGCCTCCTCTTCTCATGCCGATCCTTCACGCCTGCTTCTCCGCTCCTTGCTCCCTGCCTCCTCTTGCTCCCTGCCTGCCCCTTGACCCCAGGTGCACGCAATGCAGCTGTCTGGGAAAGGCAGCAAGGGCGGCAAAAGAGGCGTGATAGTGAACGTGGCGTCTGCAGCAGGGCTCTACCCCTCACCGAACGGTCCCATTTACGCCGCATCCAAAGGTAAGACCTACTCCCTCCCTCCCTCCCTCCCTCCCTCCCTCCCTCCCTCCCTCCCTCCCTCCCTCCCTCCCTCCCTCCCTCCCTCCCTCCCTCCCTCCCTCCCTCCTCCCTCTTGCTTCTCCCTTGTTCTTCCGCTTGTCACTGTGACTTGCACCCTTCTCGTTCCTCTGATAGTCCGAGCCTGACAGTCATGTATCCTCCTGCATGTTTTCAGTTTGTGATGTGACTTTGTGACTGTGTGCATGATGTGACTGCATGGGATGTGATTGTGCATGATGTGACTGCATGCACAATGTGACTGTATGGAGCGCAGCTGGAGTGGTCATGTTCACACGCTCATTGGCTCATCTCGCTGGGAGTGGCATTCGCATCAATGCTCTTTGCCCTGAGGTAACTTCCCTATGCTCCCCTACCCACCCCTTCCTCATTTGCTTGCTCTACACCATGCCACTGTCTGGCATTCGCATCAATGCTCTCTGCCCTGAGGTAACTTCCATTTGCTCCACACCCACATGCATCACATGCCCCACATGCCACACATGACCCACATGCATCACATGCCACACATGCCCCACATGCCCCACATGCATCACATGCCACACATGTTCCCCATGCAACACGCACTCAATGTATTCCTGCTCCCGTGGCTCTTATCTTGTCCCCTCACCGTTGCCTGCTCCCTTATCCCCTGCTTTGCCTCCCGGTTCATCAAAACCCCTCTGGTGACGCAGGTCACAGGGCAGGCAGCCAAGATCTATATCCCATTATTATGCAGTATTGTCCTGCTCTGGTATTGTATTACGCAGGACCATTGTCCTGCTCCCGTGTCTCCTCCCTTATCTTCTCCATCACTTGCAGTTCATCGAAACCCCTCTGGTGACGCCGTCACAGGTTCACCTCCCATGTTTCAACCTAATCCTGCTCCCCGTAACTCCTCCCTTTTCCCCTGCTTTGCCTCCCAGTTCATCCAAACCCCTCTGGTGACGCAGGTCACAGGGCAGGCGGCCAAGCATCTCCCTAAGGTGGTGGCCTCAGTAGGCGGATTTATTCCCATGGACACCATTGTTGACGGTGTGTGGGTGTGTGGAGGGGGGAGGGGAACCATTGGTGGTTATTTGGTGCAGTTATGGTGTGAGAAAACAGCAGCGCTCGCAGGTGCATCTTCCCAAGGTGGTCGCTTCGCTAGGGTGTTTCATTCTCATGGAGACCATTGTTGACGGTGCGTGGGTGGATGGGTGGGGCTATGGCGTGAGCAAGCAAGAGAGGTGATTGCACAGCTATGGTGGGAGCAAGCAAGAGAGGTGAGGCATCTCCCCAAGGTGGTGGCCTCGCTAGGCGGCTTCATTCCCATGAAGACCATCGTTGACGGTGGGTGGGTGTGTGGAGGGGGGAACCATTGGTGGGTATTTTGTGCAGTTATGGTGTGAGAAAACAGCAGAGCTCGCAGGTGCACCTTCCACAAGGTGGTCGCTTCGCTAGGGGGATTCATTCCCATGGAGACCATCGTTGACGGTGGGTGGTTGGGTGGGTGAGAGGGCGGGCGAATGGGTGGCTGGCTAACTGGGTGGCTAGCTTACTGGGTGGCTGGCTGGCTGGGTGGGTGACTGACTGGGTGGCTGGCTGGCTGGCTGGGTGACTGACTGGGTGGCTGGCTGGCTGGGTGGGTGACTGACTGGGTGGCTGGCTGGCTGGGTGGGTGACTGACTGGGTGGCTGGCTGGCTGGCTGGGTGACTGACTGGGTGGCTGGCTGGCTGGGTGGGTGACTGACTGGGTGGCTGGCTGGCTGGGTGGGTGACTGACTGGGTGGCTGGCTGGCTGGGTGGGTGACTGACTGGGTGGCTGGCTGGCTGGGTGGGTGACTGACTGGGTGGCTGGCTGGCTGGGTGGGTGACTGACTGGGTGGCTGGCTGGCTGGGTGGGTGGGTGAGTGGGTGAGGGGTTGCGGGGCTGGGGGGGGTTGTGGGTGGGTAGGTGAGGGGTTGGGTAGGTGCGTGGGTGGGTTTGTGGACGGGTGGGTGTGGATTGTGCGGTTATGCACCATTCAATGGTGCCATCTGTATTCTAGTGTGATGCGAGCAGATGCCTCCTGCGGAGGGGCGCACACCTGTTGTGATAAGTCGTGTTTTGAGTCGACTCAAAACACGACAAAAAAATTGGCTTCCTGTGGAGGGGCGCACACCTGCTAATCACAATCCCATTATATCCCATTGCTTACCTTTGCTATATACCTCCATCCCGCCCTCCCCAACTTACTCACAGGCATAGCCGAGTTGATAGAGGACGAGCAGAGGGCAGGCGAGTGCATGTGGATCACCAACCGGCTGGGCAAGCAGTGGTGGCCGACTGATGATGAACCACCTTCACACCACCATGTATCATCACCACCACTGGCGCCCCTCCCTGCCCTTTGTTGTCTCACAGGTCTGGCCGAGTTAATAGCGAATGAGAGGAAGGCGGGCAAGTGCATGTGGATATCAGGCCTTCTTTCTTGTCTCTCCCCACCCACTCGCCCCCTTCCCCCGCTCCTCACAGGCCTGGCCGAGTTGATAGAAGTGTTTTGAGACGTCTCAAAACACGAAAACAGAGCAGACGAGTGCATGTGGATCACCAATCGATTGGGCAAGCAGTGGTGGCCGACTGAGGAGGAAAAGAGGCGCTATCTGATGGCGGGAACACCTGGGGGAGGTGATAATAAAGGGGGTGACAGTAACAGGGATGATTCCTAAGGCTCTTTCCTCCTCCCTTGCTCCCGTTCAGGTCTGGCCGAGTTGATAGAAGATGAAAAGAGAGCAGGCGAGTGCATGTGGATCACCAACCGGCTGGGCAAGCAGTGGTGGCCGACTGAGGAGGAGAAGAGGCGCTACCTGGTGGCGGGCACACCTGGGGGAGGTGATAGTAAAGGGGGTGACAGCAAAGGAAGTGACAGAAAAAGTGATTCAAGTGGTGGTGGAGGGGCATTGGCGTTGGGTGCCATGCCAAGTGCGAGGAGGGGTGCTGGTTTGGGCGCAGCTGGGGGTGAAGCTTCTGGGAAGCTTCTTGTGGGTGTGGCGAGTGGTCTGCCTTCAACTTTCCGAAAGCTGTGAGTTGTGAGGGGATGGGTGGTGATGTGTGGTGATGGGTGGTGATGGGTGGTGATGGTTGGTGATGGTTGGTGATGGTTGGTGATGGTTGGTGATGTGTGGTGATGGGTGGTGATGGTTGGTGATGGTTAGTGATGGTTGGTGATGGGTGGTGATGGGTGGTGATGGTTGGTGATGGGTGGTGATGGGTGGTGATGGTTGGTGATGGGTGATGATGGGTGGTGATGGGTTATGATGGGTGATGACCGTGTAATCGGATGATGGTGGGATGATGATCTTTTGATGGTGGTCCTATCTCCCTCCTCCCTCCAACCCCAGTGTGGTGCAGCGCCTCTCTTCGGACTTCAGGCAAGCCACCAGCATCATCGAGCCACCACTGCCACTGCACGTACCAGTCAATCCAGTCAACCAAGTCAACGTCTATCCTCCTTTCTATCTCGTCCTCCCCCAGTGTGGTGCAGCGCCTCTCTTCGGACTTCAGGCAAGCCATCAGCATCATCGAGGCGCCACTGCCTCTGCCCGTGCCGGCGGGGAAGGTGCTGCTGCGAGTGCGATACGCAGGAATCAACGCCAGCGATGTGAGTTGCACTCCTTCGTGAGATTCATTGCACCTGCTGCTGCCGCTGCCGCTGTCACTGCCCGTGCCGGCAGGGAAAGTGCTGCTGCGAGTGCGATACGCGGGGGTCAATGCCAGCGATGTGAGTTGCGTTCCGCCGCAACTGTTGCTGCCCCTGTATTCTGCTTCTGCCACTGCCACTACCACTGTCACTGTCGCTGCCACTACCGCTGCCCGTGCCGGTAGGGAAGGTGCTGCTACGAGTGCGATACGCGGGAGTGAACGCCAGCGATGTGAGTGCTGCTTGCTGTGTCAGTGTTGCTGCCGCTGCCCCTGCCACTGCCCCTGCCACTGCTGCTGCTGCTGCCACTACTACTGCCACTACCACTGCCGCTGCAACTGCCACTGCCCATGCCAGCAGGGAAGGTGCTGCTGCGAGTGCGATACGCAGGAGTGAACGCCAGCGATGTGAGTGTTCCATGAATCTTCTTTCCGCTTTATGGGCCCTTTTGGAGTTCCTCTCATCCCTCCATCCCCTCTCCCCATCATCCCCACCCATCCTCAGGTCAACTACTCAGCCGGCCGCTACGCAGGCAGCCAGGCAGAAGCATCCCAGCAGCTTCCCTTCGACGCAGGCTTCGAGGCAGTGGGAGAGATAGTCGCACTAACAGGCAGCACCACCACTGGGTCTATGGAAAAAAGGAGCAAAGGGGGACTGGCAGTGGGGCAGGCAGCAGCAGCGTTGGCGTATGGCGCATTTGCTGAGTATATGCTGGTGGATGCCCGATGGGTGATTCCTGTGCCTGATTGTTCCCCACAAATGGTGGCTCTGCTTACCAGCGGCCTCACTGCCTCCATCGCTCTATCCGAGGTACACTGGGGGAGGAATTGACTTATGCGCATTTGCTGAGTTCATTCTTGTGGATGCGCGATGGGTTATTCCTGTGCCGGACTGTCGCCTCGCATGTTTGGGTGGCCGGCGTTCATCTGTCATTTCCGCCCTCACTTCTCCCTTCCAGTCTGGGCGCATGGGCAGTGGCGAGACGGTACTGGTGACGGCAGCTGCTGGGGGGACTGGCCAGTTTGCGGTGCAGGTGAGGGACGAAAGCAGCAGAGAGGCCAGAGCAGCAGAGAGGCCAGAGCAGCAGAGAGGCCAGAGCAGCAGCGTCTGGAAAGTGTGAGCTGCTGAGAGCTGTGAGCTTTGAGCATTGAGCGTGCCCGTTCCATGGGTTTTTCTCAGCTCGCTTTTGCTACGCTGTTCTCTATCCTTCTTGATCACTCATCATTCACTGCTGTACTTTCGCATCCATCCTTTCTGTATGGGATGTCAAACCTTCCACCAAGTTCCCCTCTCCCCCTTTTGAGAATTCTCAAGAGTGACTCCAACTTCCACGTTCTCCTCCTCCTCTCCCTTCAAGTTGTTAGAAATTTGTGCTTCGATCAGCTAGCATTTACGTTCTCCTGTCAATGCTCAATTCAGTATACCCACCCAGTCCCCCTCCGCACCACTATGTCAGTTGGCGAAGTTGGCAGGCAACAGGGTGGTGGCGACATGCGGCAGTGAGAGCAAAGCAGTAGCGCTGATGATCATATCCCCCTCCACTTTCTCCTTTCTTTACTCAGTTCCATGAACCCACCCCCTCTTTCCCTCTCCTATCTCCCCACCTTACTTGGTGACGTGCGGCAGTGAGAGCAAGGCAGCCGTGCTGGTGATCGTACCCCCCTCTTTGCTCGGTTCAATAAGCCCACCTCCCTTTTCCTCCCCCTGTATCCTCCACCTTTCTTGCCAGTTGGCGAAGTTGGCAGGGAACAGGGTTGTGGCGACATGTGGCAGTGAGAGCAAGGCTGCAGTGCTGAGGGACCTCGGGGTGGATGTGGTGGTTAACCACCGGACAGAGAAGGACATGGCCAAGGTGAGAGTGTGATGTTTGGATGATTGATGATTCATCGCCAACACAGTGTTAAGGGACCTTGGGGCGGATGTGGTGATTAACCACCAGACAGAAAAAGACATGGCCAGGGTGAGTAGACTTGTCGTTTGGCTAAATCAAAGATTTCAAAGCATCATTTTTAGTTTTCCACGCACTGTGGCAGCGTGTCTTTTCCCGCTCTTGGTAGTTTTCTTTTCTTCCTTTTTTTTCCTTTGTTTTTCTTCCGCGTCCACTCTCCTTTCCCCTCCCCTTTGGCCTCCTAACCACTCCTCCTTTTCTCCCTTCCCCCACCAGGCATTGAAGCAGGCCTGTGGGCCGCAGGGAGCAGCAGTGGTGCTCGACTACGTGGGGGGTGATATGTTTGCTGCTGCAATGAAATTAGAGGAATCACTTCCTTTTTTTTGTCGTTTTCCGTCTTCCACTCTTCTTTTCCCTTGTCCCGTCGCAGGCATTGAAGCAGGCTTGTGGGCCACAGGGAGCAGCGGTGGTGTTCGAGTCTGTGGGGGGAGATATGTTTGCTGCTGCTCTGAAGGCCCTTGGGCGATTTGGGAGGCTCATTGTGATTGGAATGATGTCACAGGTATGTGTGAGAAGTGTGGATGGAAAGATCCTGGAAAGAGTGAAAAGCCACCCAGGTAGACAGACAGTCTAGTTTTGAAGCGCCTCAAAAAAAGATGTGTGAAAAGCCACCCAGGTAGACAGAAAGTCTAGTTTTGATGCGCCTCAAAAAAAGATGTGTGAAAAGCCACCCAGATAGACAAAAAGTCACTCAGTAATCAGAACCCATGCATAGGGAGCTTGTAAAATATTACTTTGAAATGTCACGAGTCATGGCTGCTTGTATGTGGTGCAGTATTAGCATCTTTGTCGCTTTTTTGTTTCTCGTGATCTATTCATACCATTCCCATCTCACTCGTGTGAGCCCCTGACCAGCTGGCATGCTGCACCGGGATGGCAACCCAACATGTTGCGTCGGCAGCAGCCTAGTGAATGAATGAAGAGAATATTAGCTGATTGTCCCCTTTCTGCACCTACCTGTGTGCCCCTCCTACACTCCTGCAGTACACGGCAGGGCAGGAGGGGCAGTGGGTGAGCAAGGCTTATCCTGGTCTGTGTGAGCGCCTGCTCTCCAACTCCCAGACGCTGGTATGTGTTGGATAGGGATGTATGGGCTTGCGGGTGTATGTTTTGGCAGTTTACATGAAAACTTCATCTCTCGGGTTAACGTGCAAAGCTGGATTCTGCTCACCATCCAACCTTGTTTGGTTTCAGCCAAGCTTCTCTATCCGATCTTCTCTTTCTTCTTCTTTCTTCTTCAACTTTGGGTGAACCCGTTCAGAATTTCTGCCCCTTTTTCCACACCGACCCACATGTAGAAAGTGATTTTTTGAGACGTCTCAAGAATTCACTTTCTACACGTGAACCCCCCTTTCACAACCTTGTACACACGGCCACACCGAGCCACATGATAAACCCCCCTTTCACAACCTTGTACACACGGCCACGGTTTCAAGCCTCCCTTCGGGAGCACCTCTTGCTGTACCTCAAAGCACCATCAAATGGACTGAAAGCACACCTTTCAATCTCTTATCAAACGCCGCCTTCTTGTCAAGTGGAGCAAAGCTTGCTGCTGCTGTGTTGGCTCTTCTTGTCCATCTCTCTTCTCCCTTTCTCTGCTATCTTTGCCGGTGTTGGCCCGCCTCCTCCCTCTTGCACGTTGGTTCATTCTTGCGTGCTCCGTCTTCCTCCCATCTGTGGATTTTTCCCGCCCTTCTTTTTTTTGCGCAATGATTTCCTACCCTTCTCCAAGCTTCCGTTCTCCTCCCACATTTCCAGGTCGGGTTCTTCTTGCTGCACTACCCACAACTGTGGCGCTCGCACCTCACCAAGCTGGTGACCCTCTACCAAGCAGGCCTGCTCAAGGTGGGATGGAGAGAGAGGGCATGGAGGTAGCGTGGCAGTAGCGGAGGTGATAAGGGCTGATTTTCTTTGTGTTCCAAGCTCACTGCCCTCTTCCTCTCTCTCGTCTCGAGTTATGCTTTTACTGGGTTCTAAGATTTATATTTCCTCCCACCCCATACACTGTGCCCTCGTCTCTCTCCCCCTTTCCGTCCGTCTGTCATCAATTTCTGAGGCGTCTCAAATCCTTCTTCCCCCGTTCATCGCAGGTGGCCCTCGATCCGACGCCGTTCAAGGGCCTTCCTGCAGTGCCGTCAGCAGTGGAGCACTTGCAAGCTGGGAGCAGCGTGGGCAAGGTGGGTGGGAATTAGGTGGGCTTGGATCTGAATCCGATAGGGTGTTGATATACCCCTTGTTATTCGGAGTATGTCTTTCAGTCCGGGCCTTTGTGTTATATCCTCCACTTGGCCGTTTATTTTCTTTACAGGTTGTGGTTGAGATAAGTCCGAGCGGGAATGTGTCACCTTCATCTCGCCTTTGATTTTTGGCTGGTGTTGTTGGCGGCAGCACCGAATCCCCCGTCAACGTAGTTTGCGTCATACGTTAAAGACGTCCCTGTAATGTGTTAGGTTTCGAAAATCAAACGAGAAAAAAATGCTGGCTACATGTGGCAGGGCGGAGCTATTGTGTGGTCTGGTAACTTGGTCAGGGAGTTGGCAGGATGTGATTAGCTCAGCTCATTTACTTTAGTGTACAGAGGAGGTCTGTTCCATTGAGTGACTCTGGTATCGGACTTCCTAGAAGCGAATCTCTGTCAGACATTCCCGCCAATCGTGGCGAACTCCGCCGCGTCAGCTCGTGTCCTTGACGTCATCCAAGCCCCCAGATGCTTCCTACCAGCCTTCCAGTACTCCCTGCTTTCAAGAACAGGGTCTCGGAATGTCGGAAACTCTTGTAACGGAGTTGTGACCAGGGCTGTCGATATCCCTGGGGGCAGAACTTGAGGCCGCCAGCTGCTGAAATTCTGACCCTGATTTTCAGGTAGGTGACCAAATTTTCGCCCTTAACGGTCACGGGTGCAGGCCGAAGTGTAAACTTGAAATCCGGGCTCCAATGTGCTGTGTACTTAACTAACCTGAACAGCATTATAGACAAGAAAATCACATACTTTTCACTACTAACCACTCCAGTCAACCTGTATGTCACAACTTCCAACTACAACTACAGCTGCACTACCTACTGCATTTCTACTTATCTCCTGACTTCGACACTACACACACACTAGATTGGATAAAAATCGAGTGAAACATCCTCCACCTGGTGCCCTATTGTGCAACTTTCATGGAGAGGGGGGGTAAGGGGAGGGGGGTGTTCCGCAAGATTTCAGGGGGGTGGTCTGCGGAACCGAAAGTAGAACTTAGATTCAGGGGACGGCACAGATTGAGCACTTAACGCGTCCGGGGAAGGGCCAAACGATGCCCTTCACTGGCACGGGTGCCAGTAGAATCAAACCCTTAAAATGGTCGAGCTGCGCCGAACATAACCCGGAATGTTCAGGGCATTAAGGGCAAATGCCCTTGAATCGACAGCCCTGGTTGTGACAGACACTTGCTCCCTTTCTTTGTCAGCATGGCAACAAGATTCACTGCTCGACACTTCGTGGTTATTGTGATAGCTTCTTTTAAACCTAGTACCACACTCTTCCACCTCATCTTTTGATTAACGACAATCACGAAGAAATATTTGGTTACCCAAGCATGCATGGCTAACCCGCTAACATCAGAATACGCGCTAAGACCAAGGCTCTACGAATTCCCTGAGTAGCACCAACCTTCTCCCTAACCAGCTACCAGCAGAAGAAGCATCACGCATATAGATTTTGTGACGCAAGGCGTTACACGAAGCAGCTCTGCACACACCAATTAGCAATGCAGCAGCAAAAACAATCCAGCTAGCTTTGAGCTTTAGGGACGACAATCGAGCGTAGCAGATCGATAAGTGGGAATGCTGTAGTGGATCCGAATCTTCTGGATCCCTTTGTTCTAAATCCGAGAGTGTTAGACGCTGTGGTAGCAGGGATGACTGGCAAGTTCTCTAGACTCGCGAAGAGGAATCTGCGTAACTAAGGCGAGTCGCGTTCTGCCGTCGCAACTTACCGTTCTATTCAAACAGCAGTCATTGCCGAGTGGCTCACAACGGCATTGGTGGGATATGCAAAATCCTTTCCTTGTTTCTTCCCTGACGTTTTACTTAGGTATGCGAGCTCGCTGCCTTCACGGATTTACTTGCCCAGTTATTGTCGGAGAATCAACGTTCTGCATTTCGAATTCAACCGGTTTCTGCATTCCTGTCGAAGCTTCTCGCTCCCTCGGGATCCGAATCACTATCTGAACCTTGTTCGGGCCTTTCCACCTCATCATTCCCCATTTCTTTTTCCTCAAGGCCCTACAATCAGAAAACCAATTACTAAGATTATTTTACAGGCACACAGTGTGTCCCGGTCATTCGTTAGCATTCATGTGAATAGCAGTTGCATTCTGGGTTACCCTCTGAATTACATTACAGTTTAAACTCTGGACCGGACAGCGCTTGACGGTTATTTATCTGGACGCTTCACACTCTGAATGCTGAGAGCAACAAGCGGTGTAAGCAGGTGAAAGCAGTTGAAAGGAGTTGAGAGCAGTTGATAGCAGTTGGCAGCAGCTAATTGCCAAGCCAACCCGGTGAAACTGGGAGATGGACTTTAGTTGGTAGCTGGAGAACTGCTAAAGCTTGCGGGGACAGAAGGCGGTAGCAGCAGGTGAAAGCAGCAGATTTGCGGAATCTGGTGGGAGCAGCAGTCAAACAGGCAGGCACGCAGGCAGGCAAGCAGACGGGCCGTAGTGGAAACAAGAAAGGCATTGGCAGCAAGGCAAGCAGGCAGGTTAAGCAGAGAGGGGGAAGGAAAGACAGAGAGGAAGAGGCAAGCGAGCTAAACAGGCATACAGGCGGAGCAGAGGCAGGGAGGCGGGCATACAGGCTGCAGAGTCGCTTTTGGAATTCTCAAAACTAGACGCAGGAAGGCAGGCATACAGGCTGCAGGGATGATATTCGGGAAGCGCAAGGATGACAAGGGGTTTGACATCGAGTTCAGCAGCGATGACATCTCCTCCATCCACACGGCTCACTCCAGCTCGGGGAAATTCCTCGACAAATACAGGTGGGCGTGGTGTGTGGGTGGGTATACAGGTGAGGCTGGGGGACGGGTGGGTATGCTGCTGCTGCTGCTGCTGCTGCTGCTGCTGCGGTTGTGCGTTTGACATCTCGTCCATCCACACGGCTCACTCCAGCTCGGGGAAATTCCTCGACAGATACAGGTGCGGATGGGTGTGGGTGCGGGGCGTGCTGCAAGAGGTGGCTTTTGAGCCGACTCAAAAGGCACCTCCATGACATCTCGTCCATCCACACAGCTCACTCCAGCTCGGGGAAATTCCTCGACAAATACAGGTGTTGCGCACAAGATGAGTTTGTTGAGGCGTATGGGATGTGTGCTTGTCTGTGCGTGCACAGCACATGTGCTGGCAGCAGTTAGCAGCGATGCCATCTCGTCCATCCACACTCACTCCAGCTCGGGGAAATTCCTCAACAAGTACAGGTGGGGATGGGTGTCGGTATGTGAGTGTGTGGGTGTGCACGTTTGCATGTGTGTTCCACATCTCATGTCGTCCATCCACACGGCACACTCCAGCTGGAAGAAATTCATCAACAAGTACAGGTGGGGACACAGAGTGCAAGTGGCTTGCTTTTGCTGTGTCTTCCTCGTCTCATCTCGCCCATCCACATGCAGCACTACAGCTTGGGGAAATTCCTCGACAAGTACAGGTGCATGACCACCTGCTCTGCTCCTGCTCATGTGTGTGTCTCGCCTTCTGTCTCTCTCTCTCTCCGCTCTCTTGCAGTCTATCCGACATGGAGACTATGCTGCAGGAGCTGGGGGTGATGGCGAAGCTGAGGAAGAGAGGGCACCACACAGTGAACATAGAGCTGGACCTCACAGACCCCTTTGTGCACAAGGTGGGTTGAAAGGGACACATGATATGCTGAATGGGACGACCCAAGCAGCACCAGGTACGGTGGCTGGCAGCATGTAACACTAGACACTTGGCACCACGCGGGCGACTGTAGAGCTCGACCTCACAGACCCCTTCGTGCACAAGGTACGCAGCAGCTACTTGTCTGTTGACACGTCTCACATTGGCCCACATTGCACTAACTTAGGTGCATCTGACAGACCCCTTTATGCAATGTCTCTCTCTTGTCCTCCTCTGTATCTCCGCCTGTCCCTGCTGCTGTCGCTTCAGATACTCTTCTGGACCACCCCAGCAGCCCCAGAACCCTTCCCGCAGCGTGCCCTGCAAGTCCTTTCCTTCCCTTTTCTCACTTCCTTCCACTTGTGCTCTTCATACTCTCCCCGCTTCACCAACTCAACCCCTCTTCCCATTCCCCCCTGTCAGATGCTCTGAGCCACCCCAGCAGCCCCACAACCGCTGTGCAAATATGCGTTGCTTATTCTCTCCTTCCCTTGCCCTTTCTCACTCCTACTCCCCTTGCCCTATCCCCGCCCTGTCAGATGCTATGGACCACCCCAGCAGCTCCGGAACCCCTCTGCCAGTGCGCATTACGCATCCTCACCTCCACTTTTCCACTCGTGCTGTCCAAACCCCCTCCCTCACTACATGCCCTGTGTACCTCGCCCTGTGTACCTCGCCCTGTGTACCTCTCCCTGTGTACCTCTCCCTGTGTACCTCTCCCTGTGTACCTCTCCCTGTGTACCTCTCCCTGTGTACCTCTCCCTGTGTACCTCTCCCTGTGTACCTCTCCCTCCCATCAGATGCTCTGGACCACCCCAGCAGCCCCGGAACCTCTCTGCGAGTGTGCATTACGCATCCTCACCTCCACTTCCCTGCTGCATGTGAGTGCTCTAGTTCCCATGCACGCATAACTCTTACTGGATCTGAGCATGCGGCAGCCATGTAGATACGAATTAACATATCTATTCATCTGCCGAAAAAGGTTTGTCTGGTCTCCTGCCTGCTTCCTTTCACCTTGCACCCCTTTCGAAAAGATTATTGAGTCGACTCAAAAGTCAACTTCCTTTCACCTTGCACCCCTTTCGAAAAGATTATTGAGTCGACTCAAAAGTCAACTTCCTTTCACCTTGCACCCCTTTGGAAAAGAGTGAGCTGCACATAAGGAATCGCACCACCTTCCTTTTACCCCACCATGCAACCCTCGCCTTCCCCACAGGCCGTGCGGCCCAGCGAGGTGATAGGCGAGGGGGCAGCAGCGCTCAAGGCAGAGTGAACTGATTTCCAGTATCCCTCTCCCTCCCCCCCCCCCCCAATGCTACCCTCGCCTTCCCCCACAGGCTGTGCGGCCCAGCGAGGTGATAGGCGAGGGGGCAGCAGCGCTCAAGGCATGGGAGAGTGGCTTGGGCGAGTACCATCCGCTCAAGTTGCTGCTGGTCGACTGGCTGCTGCTGCAGGACCCTCTTGCGCCTTGTGATGGTAAGATGAGATCAGTAAACAAAATGCGTGTTTTTTTCTGTGCGATGGGGTGGCAAAGGCATGAAGGTGCGCTTCGAAGCTTTTTTCAAGGATTTTTTTCAGAGTGGATCTTAACGAGCCTCTCAAAATGAGCCTTTTTATATTATGAGGTGAAGGCATTGGGATGTCGTTGGGAATCCCAAGCTAAAAGTGAAGGCTCACGTATCTTTGCATCTCTTTTTTAATTTCCTTCTTTCCATGCCCCTCTCATGCTCCTCCAAGGTTGAATTCATAGTCGAAATCCTCCGTTCCCCTTTACCCCCCCCCCCCCCCTCCCCTCTCCCTCTCCTCCTGCCCTGTTCTTTCCCGGAGACCCTACTTCCATTCCAGGCCAGCACATGCCATGGCCCGGGGCTGCTACCAGCACATGCCATGGCCCGGGGCTGCTACTGAGTCCCAATTGCCCTCATCTTTCCTTCTTTCTCTCTCCTTCTGTCCTCTCCCTCCCTCGCTCTCCCACTTTCCTGCCTCTTGCCAGAAACCCTACTGCCAGGCCAGCACATGCCAGGGCTGGGCGTTGCGATCGAATTCGGCAACTTGCTGTACCGCATGGTGAGGCATGAAAGAAGGCACGGTGAATGTATGCCTTCAGAAACCCTTTTACCCGGTCAGCACATGCCAGGTCTGGGGGTTGCGATCGAATTTGGCAACTTGCTGTATCGCATGTTGAGGCATGTCGTCTCTTATGGTGAATCGAATCGCTTGGTGGATTCTAGCGCACGTATACCCCACATTACATGCACCACAGCAGGCACAAGAGGGAAATCTTGAGGTGTATTTTGAGGCGCCTCAAAATACACCACAGCAGGCACAAGAGGGAAATCTTGACTCGGTGGTGAGTCGATTCTAGACGCTCCGCATGCCCCTTTCCTTCTGCCACACACACGCATCTCTTGATCCTCACATCACACGCCCCACTTTTGAGTCGACTCAAAACTAGGCCACACACGCACCTCTTGTTCCTCACATCACACGCCCCACACCACGTGCCCCGCCCGCGCTTCACGCCCCTCCTAACAACCCTCTTTCCCCATGTCTCACACCAGGCGCAGGAGGGCGAGTTTGACGCAGTGGTGAACCGCCCCACACCACACGCCCCGCGACACGCACTCCACCACGCTTCACACGCCCCACGCTTCACGCCCCTCCTAACAACCCTCTTTCCCCATGCCTCACACCAGGCGCAGGAGGGCGAGTTTGATGCAGTGGTGAACCGCCCCCTGCACTTCCACAATGCAGTCATGTATGCGCCCACGGGCAACCGCTTTCTCAACCCGCAGGTGAGTCCCTATTTGAGGTAGGGTATGCTATCAGTCCCCTAGCTGTCACCTGCACTTCCACAATGCAGTCATGTACGCCCCCACGGGCAACCGCTTTCTCAACCCGCAGGTGAGTCCCTATTAGAGGTAGGGTATGCTATCAGTCCCCTAGCTGTCACCTGCACTTCCACAATGCAGTCATGTACGCCCCCACGGGCAACCGCTTTCTCAACCCACAGGTGAGTCGATGATATGCTTTGTGGTTTTGCGAAGTGAAGCTTATGGTGATTCCGATTGCACCAATGCATGCTTCCACACTTCGTCCTTGCATTGTCATTTTATGCCACTTCTCATCACTATCCGCTCCGCCGCACTACCCTTATCCACATACGCTTTTCCGCACCACCCTTTTTCCAACCAAAGGTGGAGGCTCGGTTTCGAGTGCTGGTTCGGGACATGGAGGCGGATGTGCTGGCAAAGTCGCTTGCTGACGTGTCACACACCATCCAGTGTGCTGTGAAGTGCTGACACACCCCCCCCCCCCTTTACCCTTTCCCCTTCTCCCGCCTCCCTCCTTCGACCCTTCCTCCTCGCTTGGGCTCCCTCCATCTCTGCTTTCTCCCTATTCTTCATTCTTCAATTCTTCCTTCGACCTTGCCCTTCCTCCCTCCTTCCTCCTCCATCCTCTGTCTGGCTTTAGCTTTTGATTCAAAAGGTCTTGGACTCTTCCCAGATCCCTCTTCAGCTGGCTTCTTTGCTCGCAACAACCCATACTGACGCACCCTGTGCTGCTTGTCATTGTCAATTCACACGCTGCCATCTCCCTTGCTGTCACCTCACAGACTTTTTTTGAGACCCTGTAAGACAAATGCTCGCAACGAGCCCAATACTTGACAGTACCTGCGTTGCTTCTCTCTGTGCATGCTGCCACCTTCCCTTGCTGTAACCTCAGGGGTTGCGACTCGCTGGTTCAACCACAGATGGTTCAGCCAGCGCTACTAGCAGCACCACCAGCAGCACACCAGATACGACCTTCCCTCAGCAGCACCTCGCAGAACACCAGCCACAGCACCACCCCAGATGCCACCTCCCCTGGCAGCAACGCAGATACCACCTCCCCCAGGAGTCACTCTGTGGGGGTCATCACCTGGACGGCAGAGGAGCAGGCCAATCCCGTGTCAGAGAGGTGAGTGGAGGCACCGCTTTACACATGTTTATTCTGGACCGGTTTGCACCTCTTCACACCTGTTTGCACCTCTTCACACCTGTTAGCACCTTTTACACCTCTTTACATCGTTACTGCCATGTCAGCAAGGTGAAAGGGGTGTGCAGGTTAGTTCTTGTGTTTATACAAATTTATTCCAAATCCTGTCCTCGTGTTGATGGCAGGATGAAAGCCTTCCTGGCATCGGAGCCTTACCTCTCATTGGTGCCAGAGGGACTCACGTGGCATCACAGCCAATGAGCATCTGACACGTGTGCGCTCCATGCTGGTCAATGGGCGGCGAGTCTCGCTCAGCAGCAGCGGCAGGGAGCTGGGGAGTGGGAGAGAGTTGGGTAATGGGGGCAGTGGGAGGGAGGTGGGGAATGGGAACAGCGGGAGTGGGAGGGAAGCGAATGGTAGCATAGGGAGAGATGCAAACGGAAGCTTTGGGAGGGAGGGCTGCTGCAATGGAAGGGAAACGAGCAACCACTGCAGTTGCCACAGCCTGCAGAATCAGCCAGGCAACGCGGTTAATACAGATACAGGTGGGGATGTTACGGCTGGTGGTGCTGGTAACCAGGTTGGATTGTTGAAGCCAATATTCGGGTTGGACTCGTTGGATGGGGTGGAGAGCCAGGAGGCGATAAAGAAGCGGATAGATGGGGGGGTGCCTGTATGGGAAGTGGTGATCTAAACGTTTTTTTGGTACAGTATTTGTTTTGGTTTTATATATATATATATATATATGTAGCAAAGAAGTGTGGGCATTGCTTTGAGGGTTGCTCATGTATGAGGGACAAGTTTGCTAGAGATGCAAGCACTTTCTATCAAAATTAACTGCACTCTTTTTCTGCTTTCTGCTTTCCATCACTACTTTCTTCCAATGCATGTAAGGTATCTTCAACTTTGCTCAAACCTCTGTACAAACGCTGAACTGCAGATTATTTCTATTATGTTTATCATTATGTACAGCACGTAACCACTTTGCGGCGAAACGAATCTCACCGAACCGAATTAGAGTGACCTCGCACTGCTCGCCTCGCCTCGATTCATCCTAGATCCTAGACCGTATCCCTAAATCTCACTCAACTTAGTCCTTGTTTCCGCTTAGGTTTCATCTTCCTTGCGTCGTCGCGTAACTTTTGATAGTATCTTTCTCTAAGGCATTTCAGTTCGATAGTATCTTATCTTGTTCCAGCGTCTGTAAGATGAAGCCGAAGAAGCATAAGACGGAGGGAATCGCGCTGCTGTCCATGTATGCGGGAGACGACGATGACGACGAAATGGAAGACGAGGAGGAAGAGGAGGAAGAAGAAGAAGCCGAGGCGCAGCAAGGGGGAGCGTCGGCGGAAAGGCGGAGCGGAAGCGGAAGCGGAGCGGAAGGAGGCCGTCCGGGGGATGACGGCGCGGCTGAAGGGGGAGAGCAAGCGATGCGATCGGGAGAAGCGGCGGAGAGATCGCGGGAGGCTGGGGGAGGCGCGTTGGGAATCTTCGGTTACGGACACGACGCGGGGGAAGACGAGGTAAGTCGCGGGTAGGGCTCTGATGGGTAGGGTTGTTTCTTTGGGCGGTTGATATTCGGTTACGGAGGTGACTTTTGAGTCGACTTAAAAAGTCACCTCGATATTCAGTTTCGGAAATGACGGGGGGGACGACGAGGTAAGTCGCGGGCAGCGTTTCGTTCGTAGCCGAGCCGCGGATCGTCATTCAGGCTGTCCTATATCAGGGTTACGTGTTTTAAGAATTTGAGGAGATTATCATATTCAGTGTACCTTTAGGGCACGTAATCTTGTTTTGAGACGTCTCAAAAACACGATTGTCATAGTATAGTGTACTTTTAGGACACGTAATCTGCATTAGGGTTTCGCAGTCCCATGATCTCATTTTGCTCTCCCTTCTCCCCCCATACCTCCCTGCTTGTTCCCTCCTCCCCCTCTCCCCCAACCGTGCTCTTCCGCCACGCTTCTCCCCTCCGCGCGTGCGTTCCGCCTCCCCTCTTTCCGCCATCTGCTCCGCTCCCCGCTTAGGTGCGCGCAGGAGGCGGAGGGGGAGGCGGATGAGCGGCGGGGAGGCGCGGGGGCGCAGCGAGAAGGTACTAGACTCTCTGCTTCCATACCTCAGAGCTTGTTTCTTGCCTGCAGATGCTTCCTGTACCCCTCCTGTCCTGTACTGTGCTGCGTAATCGTTCTCCTCAACACTGCGTCCCGCACAGACCCGTTCCCCACCCCTCTCCCACTCCCTCACTTACTTGTTGCTCTCTGCGCTTCACTTCGCTCCCCTTCCCCTTCCCTTTCCTCCTGCCCTTCCCTTCCCCTCACGCTTTTCCTTTCTCCCTCTCCCCCCTTCCCCTTCATCCCCCCCCTACCCCTCCGCCCACCCGTTTCCCCCGCCCTCCCGCCGCCCCTCTCCCCCGCGGCAGCACCCAATCGTGCTACCCCAGGGTCGGTGCATATCCTCTCTCCCCCTGTTGGCCGAACCACGCCCACTCCTGGCCGAACCGCTGGGACAGGCTCGGTAACAGGCTTGGGGACAGGCACGGCTGGTCGGATCACTCCCCCTCCTGGCTCTTTTGACGGTGACGTGGCGGTCCTAGCAGCTGCCAATGGCATTGCGCCACGTGGACAGCTGACGCCCCCTGTGAATGGGGCTATACAGGGGGAAGTGGGGGTTGAGGGGGAGATGGAGGGGGAGAGGAGAGGAGGGGGGGATGCGGGGAGGGGTGCAGAGGGGGGTATGGGGGAGCAAGGAGGGGAGGAGGAGGAGGTAGAGGAGGCGTTGAGAGGGTTTTTGCCGCCCCCACCACGAGAAAAATGTTCAGAGCAACTGCAGGTGTGTAACGGAGCAATTAAAGGAAGAGGGGAGGAAGGGAAGGAAGGAGGGAGAGGGGGGGGTGGGGTGGTTGGGAGGGGGGGTGGGGGTTGGGAGGGGGGGGGGGGGGGGGGGGGTATTTCGGAGGAATCTGATGAGGTGAAATTCGGTTTGAATAAGAAGTATTTTTCTGGGTCTCAGCTTTGCTCGTTCAAAATGAGCCCATTCATGTATAAAATGCATGGAATGTGCCACGTGGCGTGTTGTGACTGGTGGTGATGGGTGGCAGGCCAAGTTTATCCGGTATCTGGAGCTGAAACGGGCCGGCAGGAGCATCAACGACGCCCTTCGTAACTCCAAGGGCTACCGCAACCCTGACTTCATGCAACAGGTGGGGTGATTGTGGTGGGGGAAGGGGATGGGGAGGGTGTGTTGGGGTGGGTGGGAGGGGTGGGAGGGCCATCAGTGCTGCTCAACTATAAGGGCTACCGCAACCCTGACTTCATGCAACAGGTGGGGTGAAGTTTAAAGGGGAGGGCTTCGTGCAGCAGCAGGTGCGGGCATGAAGGGAAGGGGATGGGCTTAGGGCTTGATATGGCATCCGTTCTCCACTCTCCTAGGTTTTGATAGTCCCTTTGCCCTCCCTCTCATGCACGCCTGGTTCGCCACTCTTTCGTTTATTTGTTGGTTTGTCCCAATCGTAGAAGCGCCTCAGAAACTGAGTCGATTTTGAGGCGCCTAGAAAGGGTTTGTCCTTTTGCCCTCCCTCTCATGCACGCCTGGTTCGCCACTCTTTCGTTTATTTGTTGGTTTGTCCCAATCGTAGAAGCGCCTCAGAAACTGAGTCGATTTTGAGGCGCCTAGAAAGTGTTTGTCCTTTTGCTCTCCCTCTCATGCACTGCTGGTTCTCCACTCTCTTGTTTGTTTGCTGGTTTACCAATCTCTCACTTTTTGTTGATTTCCCACCCTCTTTCACAACAGGTGGTGAAGCATGAGGGTATAGACGAGCACGGATCCTGCTTTTCTAAAGACGTCTTTAATCCTCACGGCTTTGACCGATTAGACTACTATGACGCCCTTGGTGTGTTGAATATCATGTTCTCCCCACCAAGTACTGTGACTCTACATTCCCTTGCTATGCTGATGATGACTGCTCGTGCTTGAATCATTTTTTAGAAGGCTCTAGGCATTGCGTTCATACCTGTTTGGGTTGGGTTATACTTTTTTTTTTTTTTTTTTTTTTCAGAACCCGAATAAAGCATTGCCTCGCACAGCTCCCTATTCATACTGTTGCCATATGCGAGAACACAAGCCATATGCGCATATGCCATATTCACACACCTTGCGGTCGCTGTTGTTATTTGCCGTGTTCCATGTTGCATGTGTGGAATATGGCGACTGTGGCATGTGCCGTGTATGCCATGTGCATGTGAAATGTGGCATGCTGTTATGACTTATGGCTCATGCGGGCTTGTGGGCATGTGTGCATGATTCATGGGGCAGTGGCGTGTATGCCATGTGCATGTGAAATGTGGCATGCTGTTATGACTTATGGCTCATGCGGGCTTGTGGGCATGTGTGCATGATTCATGGGGCAGTGGCGGAGCAGAGGAGGGAGATGGAGCGAAAGGAGCAGGAGAGGAGGCAGAAGGGCGGGCAGATAGAGTTTCAGCGAGGGGGCACCGTGGTTCAGCTCATTGCCGCTCCTCCTAAAGGTAATGCTCGTGCAATGGTGCACCGCTTTGCATCTCTCAGCACCGCTTTGTGGCCATGCGGCTCTTGATTCATGAAAGATGGAGCGAAAGGAGCAGGAGAGGAGGCAGAAGGGCGCGAGGGGGCACCGTGGATCAGCTCATTGCTGCTCCTCCGAAAGGTATTGCTTGTTTAATTAGTTCAATTCACCACTTTGCATCTCTCTGCACTGCTCTGTGTCACACTACGTGAGGAGGGATAAGAAATGGGCAGGTAGAGTTTCACTACACTCCACCCACAAGGAGGCAGAAGGGTGGGCAGATAGAGTTTCAGCGAGGGGGCACCATTGTGTAACTCATCCCTGCTCCGCCCAACTGCACTTCGTGTAGAACATTGCACCGCTCTGCACACCTCTGCACTGCCCCATGCTGAATCATACAGCGTGTTGCTGCAACTCCCGCTGTCTTTAGTGGACTTGGGTCTTTTGGTCTGTATCATTTCCCAACACCATCACCAACACCAGCACCAGCACCAACACCAACAACACCAGCACCAACACCAACACCAACACCAGCACCAACACCAGCACCAACAGCAGCACCAACACCAACACCAACACCAGCACCAACACCAACACCAACACCAACACCAACACCAGCACCAACACCAACACCAACACCAACACCAACACCAGCACCAGCACCAGCACCAGCACCAACACCAACACCAGCACCAGCACCAACACCAACACCAGCACCAGCACCAACACCAGCACCAGCACCAGCACCAGCACCAGCACCAGCACCAGCACCAGCACCAGCACCAGCACCAGCACCAGCACCAGCACCAGCACCAGCACCAGCACCAGCACCAGCACCAGCACCAGCACCAGCACCAGCACCAGCACCAGCACCAGCACCAGCACCAGCACCAACACCAACACCAACACCAACACCAACACCAACACCAGCACCAGCACCAACACCAACACCAACACCAACACCAACACCAACACCAACACCAACACCAACACCAACACCAACACCAACACCAACACCAACACCAACACCAACACCAACACCAACACCAACACCAACACCAGCACCGCTTCTCCCATGTCCCTCTCTCTTCAACTCCCATTTCTGTTGCCTCACCCGTTGCCCTCTCCATCTGACTTTTGAGTCGACTCAAAAGCCATCTCGCTACAATGTCACACCAACTCCCACGTACCTCTCTCTCTCCAGCTCCCATTCCAGTTGCCTCACCCGTTGCCCTCTCCATCTGCCCCTCGTCTCCCATCTGCCATGTTTTCCCATGTGCCTTTCTTTTCCCACCTGCCGTGTCTTCCAATCTCTTACCCATCTCTCCCGCTTTTCCCATGTCTTTCCAATCTGCCAAACCAGGAGCCCAACCCGTTCAAGATGCTGCAGCTGCAGCAGCAGGCGGAGCAGGGGGGATGGCACCTGGGCAACCAATGGCAGCAGGGGCCGCAGCAGCAGCAGGAGCGGCAACAGCAGGAGTGACAGCTGGAGGAGCTTCTGCGGGTTTGGGAGCAGGCATAATGGGATCGGCTCCTGGTGTTATGCGGGGAGGCACCGGTGCTGCTGGTGGTGGGGATGGGTTGACACGAGGCGGGAAGAGGAGCAAATGGGACAAGGTATGTTTTTGTTGAGAGGGGTTGAGGTTGAGGGTTTGGGAAGGGGAACAATGGGTACAGTGAGGGGCAATGGCGACAGCAGGTGCAGTGCTGCGGGTGTGGGAGCAGGCGTAATGGGATCGGCTCCTGGTGCTATGCGGGGAAGCACCGGTGCTGGTGGTGGCGGTGGGGATGGGTTGACACGAGGCAGGAAGAGGAGCAAATGGGATAAGGTACGGATTCATGGTGATAAGATTGAGAAAGAGGCAGGAGCAAATGTGAGATTGAGAAAGAGGCAGGAGCAAATGTGAGATTGAGAAAGAGGCAGGAGCAAATGTGAGATTGAAAGAAGAGGCAGGAGCAAATGTGAGATTGAGAAAGAGGCAGGAGCAAATGTGAGATTGATAGAAGAGGCAGGAGCAAATGTGAGATTGAGAAAGAGGCAGGAGCAAATGTGAGATTGAGAAAGAGGCAGGAGCAAATGTGAGATTGAGAAAGAGGCAGGAGCAAATGTGAGATTGAGAAAGAGGCAGGAGCAAATGTGAGATTGAGAAAGAGGCAGGAGCAAATGTGAGATTGAGAAAGAGGCAGGAGCAAATGTGAGATTGAAATAAGGGAGGAGGGGAGGACGATTTGCATTGGCCTCTCACATAAAAATTCCACTGTCACCGCATCCCACCGGTTTGCATTGGCCTGTACCCACTTCCACCAGGTTGTAGCTGACCCCCCACCACCAGCAGCAGCCGGAGCAGCAGCATCAACTCTCACATAGCAAAACCCACTCTCACCGCATCCTACCCACTTCCACCAGGTTGTTGCGGACGCCCCACCAGCAGCAGCAGCCGGAGCAGCATCAACAGCAACAGGAGCCGCTGCGAGTGGTGCCGTTTCTGCTGGCTCTGCCGCTGCTGCTGCTGGCGCTTCTGGTGGCGGTGCCGGTGCTGCTGGTGCTGGTGCTGGTGCTGGTACGGGCATGGGCATAGGGCGAGGCGCGCACATGGCAATGGCAGCAGCGAGAGCACATGCTGCTGCCATCACTGCCGCCGCTGCTGCTGCTGCCATGGGGGGTGCAGCACCCACAGGCGCACACATGTGAGTCTCTGTTTTGTTCTTCTCTCCATTGCATGCTGCTGGTAGTGCTGGTAGAGCGTGGGGGGGAAGTATAGTGCTCATTATCTCCCCCGCTGCTCTCCCCTACTGTGTATGCCTGATTGGTTGCCTGCAACTGTGTGGTGCAGGTCGTATGATAAGAGCGGGCACAGGCGTTGACTTGAGGCGCCTCAGAAGTGACCTGGATGTTTGTATGGGGCCATGTCACTTCTTGTTCAGGCATGGAGTGGGGAGACTTGCTGGATGAAACTGTGAAGATGCAACTATAAAGATGGAAGTTGTGAAGATGAAACGGTGAAGATGGAACTACGAAGATGAAACTATAAAGATGAAGTTGTGAAGATGTAACCGTGAAGACGACACTGTGAACATGTAACTGTGAAGATGAAACTACCTGTGAAGATGAAGCTGTGAAGATGAAACTACGGAATGAGGATGAAACTACGAAGATGCGACTATGAAGATCAGGGCCTCGGATTCGTTTTTGCCTAGGCTGACACGTCAGCCTTACCAGGCTGTGCTAGGCTGATCAATCAGAGTCGTATCCGAAAAAATAGCTGAAATATCAGTGTTATCCTAAAAAAAAAAACGCTGACTAATCACCCTGACTAATCAGCTAACGCTGACTAAATTGAAGGTTGAACGAGGCTAAAGCTTTTTTTGTTCATTAAGTTTAGCAGCCCAAACTAACAATGTCTTAGCAGCTCTCATCACTAGAACACTCTACCGCATCTCCTACTGGCTCCTCATCATCTACATCTATCTCCTCTTGATGCTTGACCTTCTTGCTGGTGTCGCCTGGGGTTGGGGTGCATATGGGGGCATTGCTGAAAGGCTTCCGCTTCTTGTAACTCCACCATATCTCAACTACCTCATCGTAGTTGGGCTCGTATTGCATCAGGGACATACACATGAAGTCCCCCAGCCTAGCGTCCTTCATTTCCCCCTCGCCGCCATGATTTGATCACGTTTTGCAGGGTGAATCCCCTTTCACACTCCACTGTGCTGAGGGGAATGACAGCCACCGCCACCCAGAGTGTGAGGATCTAGGATTGAGCTCAGGAAAGAGAGTTTGAATGATTCACCTGGGTACAACACGAGGCTATGTATAGGCTCGACACAAGGCCAGTTACCCAGGTGTTACGCGAATGTTTTGAGGGTCGCGAAGCGTCCCGAACAGAGCCTTCCCGAACTCAGTAGAAAGCAATTCGGTGGAAACCGAATAGGCTTGAGTTCGGTACACGTAACCTGGTTCGGTGCTATAACTAAAATAAAATATAGGAATGCACCTAACCTACGAAATCAAGCATATCTATGCAAGATAAATAAAACCCAAGCTAGATATAGCATAAAGTCCAGGCAAGCTAGCAAAGCCAGCATAAGTTGTTGTACTCTCACACAGAGCTGCACCAGATTGGGATAGCTCTCCCGCTAGTCGGGCGTCTTTAGCATCGCCGTCAGTCCACTATGCAAGCTTCTCTCTTCCTTGGGGGCCCTTGCAACGTCTGAACAAAAGAGGCGAAGCTCCTTGCCTGCCAACCTCTTGTTGATGCCTGGAGGAGGGAGGGAGATTCAGACGAAGAAGAGGCAAATAAACATACAGAGTAAAGGCTAATCAAGCATAGGGGTGAGGGCTTTACATTCCTGGTCACCCAAAACGTACCTGGTAAGATCTCATCGTGGGGTAAGATCTCTCAGCCATTCGTGGCATCGAGCATTCCGCTCCGCCTTGCTTTGTGGCCATGCATCAGGAATGAACAGGCGGACTCCAGAGAGCGAGTCGAGGTCACCGAGCCTCCCCTCCAGGTTCGCCACGATCCTCTCCGCGAACTCGGTGCACATCTGGATGCAGCCGTCGTGGTCCTCTGAGCCGCTATATGAGTCCACGGGGTCGTCGTGAAGAGTGAACGTGAAGGAAGCTGGTCGGTCGTCGCTGTCGACTCCCTCCACCTTCACTTCGCGGTTACACCCCGGGCCATGGCGCTCCAGGAATGGTGACAGCTCACGTAGCGGCTCTTGATGTGATTGGTTGTCCGCTTGATCTGCGCATGCAAAGACACCAGATCGAGCTGGACAGATGAAAGGCACACAAAGATAATAGTTAGATTCGTGGTGTGAAAACGCATGCGTATATATATATATATATTCGTAACACCTCACCTGTCTTTGTTGGAAGGTCTTGTTCAAGATATTGAGCAGCTCAAGCACATCAGCCAGAAAGTAAAGGAAGCAGTGAAAACGGTAAGAGCTCCTCTGCCGCATCCTTCGCTGCAAGGGCCTCCCTGCAAGTGGAACACATCAATGAATGACATTAGCGAAGTGTACAAACACGATAATGTGACGGGCTAAAGACGAAACCGTGCACTAACCTGCGAGCGATGAAGTGAACGAAGACAAGGTGCGGGATCTTCTGACGCAGGCGGACAACCAGGCCATCCTTCGTCCCCATCATCACTCTTGCGCCGTCGGTCCTTCTGCTGGAAATCCTCTGCAGATCGACACTGACTGCCTCTGCTTTTTCCACCGTGATTAGCTGTATGAACTTCGTCACGAGGACGTTGTTGCGGATGAACGTGGCGTATAAGATCATGTGCTTCCCTCTTAGCCGATCTGTTCTTTCATCGACGCAGATGCCGATGAAAGGGCTTGTCAAGATGTGCTCCAGCTGAGTTGTCTGTAGCCAGGTGGCAAGGGACTGCGTGAGCTCACCGAAGCTGTACCTCTCAACAGAACAAACCATGAAAGACTATTAAAATATTCGAAAGAATCTTTAAAAGCACCACTCCTCTTAGCTGACTACTACTCACGTTGTGTAGTAGGTGCCGTACCCTTTTTTTGGGAAGCCGTGAACACCCTTGCGCGCGAGGTAGTGCACTAGCTTCACCCATGTTCACATGGGCACATTGCACTGACTGATGAACAGCTTGGAGTCGATCAACGCAATGACTCGTATCTTCTCTGCATCGACGGCGTCACGATGTTTGTCGATCCGTGGCTACTTGAACGCCGCGTTCAGCAGAGCCTCCTGCTTCTCCATTACTAGGTTGTGTTTCGCCGTACCGGCGTGCTTGCGAAACGCCTGAGTCTGCACGCCGGTCGCCCCTCGACCTGTCCGACCACATCGTCCTCTGACTCCAGCATGCGTGGTGCAGACAATGCAATTAAAGGCAAGAAAACCGGATTTAGATTTCGTTAAAACAAGCCACGGGAACGGCCAAGCGAGCGCAGGAGAAAATCAAGGCCCGTCCTGACTTCTTTGAGGCCGTCTACTTCATCACCATCTAGATCTGCATAATCGTCGCTGGCCAAGCCTTCGGCATGGCCATCCATGGCTGAAAGGAGAGAGCGTGCCGAGCTCTGATGTTGCTAGGGTTTGTGCAAACCATTGCGAGAGGCGGGGATTGACAGTGCAGCTCGCTTGGTGGGTGGGTACGATGGGGTCATCAAGAGAGGGGTGAAAAAGAAGAGCCTCTCGTTCTCACCACCCTGCTACAACGCGACGCGACGTGGGGGCACCATGCACGCACTTGGATGCAGGTTCTGGGTGGGTGAGATGGGGTGAGGTCGGTGTCCATGTCGTGGGGGCGTGCGGTGCGTTGCTGTGTTGTCCCTGAGGGTGGGTGATTGGTCCATAAGTGATGTGATTTGTTAAACAACCAATCGCATCACTTTATGCATTCTGTCGGTAACAACAACGCAACCGACGCGTCGGAAAAAATCGTTTTTCCCTATGCGTCGGCTCTATACATGACAACTATTGCCAAATGGACGGGGGATGTACCTAGACAGCAAAAAATCACGGCTCCAGCACGAATCTATAATTCCATGAATTCAGCCTACGCTCTCGTTACAATGCTGACCAGTCAGTGAACACTTGCAAAAAAACGCTGAAAAATCAGCCCTTACATAAAAAAAAAAAGGCTGGAAAATCAGCCCATACATAAAAAACAAAAGGGCTGGCGAATCTGCCCCCACATTAGTGTCAAGAATGAAAGTGCTGGTTTGACTAAGGTTGGTTGGGGTACATAAACCTAACCCTAACAGTTGTACCCCCTATAACACACGTCACTATGACTACAACATTTGACACACCCCCATAGTCTAAGTGAGGGGTCTCAAGCAAAACCAAAAGTGAGGGAAGGCACCGCTTTACACATGTTTATTCTGGACCAGTTTGCACCTTTTCACACCTGTTTGCACCTCTTCAAACTTGTTTGCACCTCTTCACACCTGTTTGCACCTCTTCACACCTGTTTGCACCTTTTACACCTCTTTACATCGTTAATGCCATGTCAGCAAGGTGAAAGGGGTGTGCAGGTTAGTTCTTGTGTTTATGCAATTTTATTCCAAATCTGTCCTCGTCAGGATGAAGGCCTTCCTAGCATCGGAGCCTTACGTCTCATTGGTGCAGAGGGACTCACGAGGCTGCACAGCCAATGAGCATCTGACACGTGCGCGCTCCATGCTGATCAATGGCCGACGTGTCTCGCTCAGCAGCAGCGGCAGGGAGCTGGGGAGTGGGAGAGAGTTGGGTAATGGGGGCAGTGGGAGGGAGGTGGGGAATGGGAACAGCAGGAGTGGGAGGGAAGCAAATGGTAGCATAGGGAGGGATGCAAACGACAGCTTTGGGAGGGAGAGCTGCTGCAATGGCAGGGAAACGAGCAACCACTGCAGCTGCCACAGCCTGCAGAATCAGCCAGGCAACGCGGCTAATACAGATACAGGTGGGGATGTTACGGCTGGTGGTGCTGGTAGCCAGGTTGGATTGTTGAAGCCAATATTTGGGTTGGACTCGTTGGATGGGGTGGAGAGCCAGGAGGCGATAAAGAAGCGGATAGATGGGGGGGTGCCTATATGGGAAGTGGTGATCTAAACGTTTTTTTGGTACATTATTTGTTTTGGTTTTTTTTTTTTTTTTTTTTTTTTTTTTTTTTTTTTTTTATGTAGCAAAGAAGTGTGGGCATTGCTTTGAGGGTTGCTCA